CCGGCTAAAATATTGGCAAATTTGTGAATAACAATAAAGAATGACAGCTATGTGTTAAAATGCATTGAACAGAACAAGAAACCATGAGTCTATTCTGACCATAATAAAGGAAGAAAGTGCTTCCTTACTGTAATATATATTACAGTAAAATATCAACTAATATATAGAAGGAATAATGAAAGTAAATAATTGCCATTATATAACCAGTACAAATATCACTACTATCAGTTGAAATTAAAAGTTAAATATTTGCAAAGAATTTCTCTTAAAGACTAGTTAATAATTTAAGAAAAACAACAACAAATAGTTCCATGGTGGTGCAAGCTGGCTGATACCAACTTAACCAAGTCATTCATGGAACCCCTACTAGGACAAATTAACAGGGGGTATCCCTGATGTGACACATTGATAAAAGTAATACTACTTAGATGGTATCTTTACCCAAAATACATAAGCTTTATCTGCTCACAAGGTAACAGGAAAGAGTCCCACCTGAAATGCATTCTATAAAACTATTCATCTCTATTGAAACTATCAATGTTATGAGAGACCAAAGAACACTTCCAGATTACAAACAGATTGAACGGACACAGTAACTGAAGAATTTCATCCCCTGGAATGGCATATTGGAGTATATAGGAAAATTACTATTGAGGATGTAATTGGAAAAATTCATAAAATTAAACTATGGACTGTAGATCATATTATGTGAAAATAATTGTATTTTTCTTATACATTTATTATTAAGCTTATGAATAATGCTCTAATGGTGCAAAAATAAATACATCAAAAGAACAGAACCTAGAAAAAAATAGTCATTTGATTAATGCAAATTCAATGATAAAATGTTTTAAATAAATCTTATTAGATCGATTAATTATCTGCCTGAAAATAGACATTTTCATGTATAAAAATTAACTTAGAAGTGAAATCCAGACTTAACAGAGGGGCTTCTAAAACTTTTGGAAGAAACATGAGTTACTTTTACGACCTCTGGGTAGGCAATGAAACCTTAAATATGAAACAAAGTAATGACATTCATAAAACACTTGGATAGTTAAAGACAAACCTTTGAGAGAAGATATTCACACCCGTTAAAGAACTCAGCAAAAGTATATAACGAACTTTTACAAATAAGAAGATGCAGCAGGCTCATGTGAAAATGGTCACAAGCCTAGATGACATATCATCAAGGCAGATACGCCAGCCTCTGTTACCATACAAAGGGTGCTCAGTGAGATTACACCAGCTATGAGAATGGTAAAGAACTACAAGGCTGAGCTTGGTTGAGGCTGGGTGTAGCACTCCTACGTAGCAAGAGGGAGGTAGATGGATACAAGCATTCTGGAAATCTCTGTTTTCAATAGTATGTATGACTTAAACATAAGCTTTCCCTTGGACTTAAAAATTCCACTTCTAGTCATATAATCAAGAGACGTAAGTACATATAGCCACCAAGGCCAGTGTGAGCATCTTCATGCTCATGCTAAATAGTGTGTGGAATATTGACTTCCAATTGAGATGCCACCTGCAGGAATAAAGAGTAATGATTTAGTGGTGCTTGAAGCAGCTTGGATATATCTGCAGATAAATCCATTGGGTGAAAGAAGCCAGGGGTTAAGCACAGCAGACCAGACCAGATGATTCTATGTGCCATACAGGTTTGGGCCAGAGCAGTCTGTTGTGACAGGAAGCAGAGTCGTGGTCCCTTGGGTTGGTACTGACTGCAGATTGTCCAGGGATTGGAAAGAAGCACGGAGAAACATTCTCTGCCTTTATCTGCATGATACAGACATGCTGGTCTTATACGTATAACATGTAAAAGTTTCTATGGCTATACATTGGAGTTGCATGTCTATTAAACCTTGACTATATATGTGTGTGTGTGTGTGTGTGTGTGTGTGTATATATATATGTATGTATACACACACACATATATATTTAAGTTGAGGATGGAAAGGTGCATTTTTAAAGTATAATGCATCCGAATACAATGATACAATTTATAAGTATCATTTCGAGAACGGAAAAGATTGTATTCAACAGAAAACCCAGCAGCAAGAAAGAACGCGGCTAAGAGATGCAGCAGCGCCCTTCACTGAGAAGTCCAGTGTGGGTTCTCCGCGCCTGCAGGAGGGGAAGCGAGCCGGGAAGAGAGCCTCAGAGGTATTTCTCCGAGTAGCCGCCAGAGGATCCCTAGCCGGGAGAGCTAAACTGGCTGCCCGCTACGGCTCCTTCCGCCGCAGCCCACACCGGCTGGGGCAGCCCGGGTCTTCCCCGCAAACCCTGGTGTCAACTCCGGCAACAGAACGCTTCGTGGGAGAACTGTTCGACAATCACAAAAGAGCAAGCGCTTAGGTCGACTGGATCCCTTCTCAACCCCTTACTGCCTTTTTATCCCCTTTGTTTTCCTGAGAACTTGGGAAATGGAATGCATATCCGATGTGTGGCTACTCTGCTGCTGTAGAGGAAGAGGTGGGGGGTGGGAGGTGGGGAGAGCAATAGAGAGACACTTTATGGAGCATGCGCCGCCTCTTTCTCTCGCGCTCGCTCTCCCTTCTCGCCCTCTTTTTCTCTCTCCCTCTCTCCTCACCCCACAGTACTCAAACTGGGCAAAACTGGAAGCTTGTCCTTTGAAGATTCTTAACCTTACAATTTGCTTTTACACTTAAACTCAGAAAGCTTGATTTGAATTTTCCTTTCCTCTAAATTCCTTTAACTTAAAAAAAAAAAATCATGTTTCTGACCACACCCAGGCAGGGGGATTTTCCAAGGTCACATCTTCAAGTCTACCAGGTGGTCTCACTAAGTTTAATAAATGGATAAAAGCTTTCCAAATACCAAAAGAGAGCAGGTTGCATTCATTCCTGATAATTGAACAGATGCAAGAAAAAGGAGAATAAACAACATAAGGATGTAAAAAAAATTTATTTTCAATTGTAAAAATTTCACAGCACATTTCTCATTATACTGCTCATTTACAAACACATGCAAGTATCTGTTTGTTTTTATTGCATACAACGTGGAAACATTTGTACCCATGCCTAAATAATAAAGAATAGAGCAAGGAATATAAAACTTTGGTCAAAGAAATCAACAACAAATGATTACTGAACTCCTGTCACCTGAAAGTCTGCATGGCAACATGATGGAAATAGAGCTGCTGGAACATTACCTGGGTTCCAACTCCCAGCCTTTCACCTACTCGCTCTGTGATCTTGGGGAGGTGACTTCTCTATTGCTTTCTTTCCATCTTTGAAATGGGGCCAAGGCGAAGGTTACACTTAGCTGATCTATACAGTGCCTTCATCTCAGTCCTTTTATGTTAAGGGTCACATTTGCCTGTGTTCCCATGACTACTGAGACATAGACAAAAGGCTTCTTTTTCACTCCCAGTTTCCTCTCAACAGACTCAAAAGGTGTGTGGAGACTTGACATATTCCTGCAAGCAACCAAGGAAATATAAGTCATAACCCAACTGATCTTTCAAGTGCTCGATTGTGTGATAGACGAAATGAGAACATGAGCAGAGTGTGACCCCTGCTAACATCCCCCTGACTGACACATTAGAGGTGGGGCAAGTGGCAGAATGGTGAGGAGTATTTCCAGCAAGTGGGGTCTGTGCCTTTGAGCAGGAGAGAAGGAGCCCTGGGCAGACACAGGAAGAGGGCAAGGCCAAGGTTAAAAAGTACTCTCATCATCTACTTCTCTCCACTCCCCGCAACACCACCATGGTTATGTCGGTGGACCTAGAAATAAGGGGGGTGAACCCAGCAATAAGTGGGTAAACACCAGACAACTTCAACTTCTGGTAAATATTTTACCAGCTGTTGATTACAGTAAAGGAACAGTTGTCACACCCTTTCATAACTGTGAGTAGTAGAAACAGAAAATACTTTCCAAGAACTTTTTTTTTCCAATATAAAAGCAAACTTAGAGGGCTTATTTTTTTGCCCTTACATTGCAAAAGACTGGCTTCCTGAATGATTGTTATAAATGAAAAAAAAAAAATGCCACTTCTAGTCTTTGAGTATGCAAATACATGGACTAAAGTGAGCTTTAAAGGAAAGTCTTTTACTTTTTCTTGGGGTTTTTCTTTCTCCCACCAAAATGCTCCTTTTTATCGCCACTATTTACTGTGTGAGTCTCTCTTCTGCGGGAGAGGTACACTTCGCGTGCTTTTTGACAAATGCTTCCCATGGAGCCACTTTTCCACACAATCTAAGTGCACAGGTGGAGACGCGGGCGATGGCAGGGCCCCTTCCAGCCCAGCAGCCCAGCGCGGCTATGGCGCAGCTGGGTGCAGCGGTCAGGGAGGGCGGCAACAGGAGGCCAGCGCGCGCGGGAGGACCGCTCCACTGCATGGAAATGCCAGGCGGGCTCCCCCAGTCGGACTCAGGGGCTCTCTCTGGACGACGACGTGCCAGCCTCTGGGACCCTCCTTCAGGCTCCCCGCGGGGTCCCCAAGTCTCCCCGCCCCCCGCGGAGCCCCGCCTCCTTCCCGCTCTCAAACTCTGAGTCCACGCAAACCTGGCTCTCCTCGCGCGCGCGTTGCCGAGCGTGTAATTGGGGAACTCCTCCCCGGCCCGACGCCTCGCAGCCGCCGCCGGAGCCGCCGCGGGCTGCCCC